TTTGTATGTGTTCCCTTTTTTCCTCCATGATTAACCCCAAAAGAGCTTTCAAATAATCTGCTAAGTATTGAAGTACTGAAGTCATAAGCGAGTTGCAAAAAATCGGCTTACTGGAACAACAGGAAAGGCATTCTTTTGCTTTTCAAAGGCTTTCCCATCATCTGGAGCCAAAAATATTATCTTCTGACCCAAAAAGCCACTAATAAACCTTGTTTCTATAGGCTAAGCAAGAGGGAAGATTTTGCCCTGAGCAAAACAGCAAAGGCGGCAAGACTGTTCTCTGGGTCCTCCCACCCTCACTTCTGCTCCCTCCCCTACCTCCTGCCACCCTCCACTTCCAGGTATCTCCCAACTGCCTTCAGGCTGCCTAGAGTCTTACAAGCTGCCCGCACTCCCATGGGCTCCCTTTCTCCCTAAAAGTACCCCATCCCCATATTAAAACCCCTTTCTTTCCCCTCCAAACTCCTTCCAAATCTCAACTATTAGGGACAACCTCTAAGCAGCACAGTCTCAGCACTTACCCTCTCTTTGTAATCCTGTTTATGCACAGAATGCTGTGTTCCCTTTCTATCTAGTTAGGAGTTTGGGGAGTGAGAAAGGCTGCCTTATGGAGACACACAGAGAGCTAGCAATAGAGCCCCCTGTGTAACCTGGGGCCATTTGCTCCCCTGATGCACCAGTAAAAAGTTAAGATTAACAGTATTATATTTTTTTGCTACTGATCCATTGAAAAGCTAAAAAAAAAAAAAAGTTAAAACAGTAAGCTTCAGTTATGAAGACAATTCACTTGTGTGAGCCTTGTTTCCCTAAATGCAAGATTAATAAAAATGAGAGATGTCATGTACTATATTTAAATTTAAAAAGATGAGGCTGTTGTCCAAAATTAACCTCTAAATGGCAGTGGGGGGGGGGGGTATGGTGGCATATTTTTGAACCCTTTGTCAACTCCCTGCCTCAAAAGACTTTAACACACTATCCCACTGAAAACCTTAAAGAGAACAATAAAGGGGCTCCTTTTCTGAAGTTTGCTGAACTAACCCAGGCTTCTGTGGCTTACCTCTAAGGGCTTCAAGCACAACAGGAGGTGAGCAGCCTCCCTGCTCTCCAAACAGCCACACAACTCTGTCTATAAAACAAGAAGGCTCATCACCTCCCTCCCTCAGGACTCTCTGCAGGCCTCATCAGCCACCACCAACAACCACGTTTGTTATTTATAATACTGAATAGCACACCACATCTGTGGGGGCAGAGCCCAAGAGCACAGGGGTGATGTTTTTAAAATGTGATACAATTGTGGGTGGAAGAACTCCAATCGTGATCTTTCTCAAGACACCAGAATAACAGATGTACAAGACAACCTAGAGGCCACAAACTTGTCCCTGTTCACCAAGGTTTTCCCACCCTTGCTGGCTGCTCCTCCGCTGCCTGTCCCCTTGACACTGGAGCCCCGCCAGGCTCTGGCCTAGGCCCTCTTCTCATCTCCCTCCATATTCTCTCCTTAGGAGACCCTGTCCCTTCTCATGGCTTCAGACGACATCTTATCAACACTCACATGCTGGTCAACACTCAGTCTATGCACTCCTCCTGCTAGAGACGGTAAATGCACCGACTTTCTTGACAGAACCACCTGGATATGTTAAAGCATCTGTTTAAAACTGAACTTGGTATGTTCCTTCCCCGCACCCACCCTAAGCCTGTTCCTTCACCATAGTTCCCCACTGCATCAATAGGTTCCACACTGTATCAGTAATTCCCCATCATCCTCCCAGCTACAGAAGCAGGATCTCCAGGAACAGTGATCTCCAAGATATATGGATCTCCAGAACATATTGGGTACGTTAAGTGAGAAAAGAAAGTTGCAAAACTGTGTTTAATAGCATGCTATCTTTTATTTAATGAATGGGGGAATAGAAATGTATATGTACACACCACACACATATATATGCATTTGTTACCGTTTTCAAAAAGAAACAAAGAAAAGATAAACTAATAACAACTGTTAACTATGTGGGAAGGAAGAGAACAGGGTGGAGAATGAGATTAAAGCAAACTTCTGTGAATATACCTTGTAATATAGTTTTGACTTTGAGAAATATTATATATAAATGTTTTATATAATTAAAACAAATAAAATAAAAATGTTAAAAATACCTAAAAATTAAAAACAGATTGAAGCAAATTAACCGAGCTATATCTCATGATGGGAGACCTACACAGAGAAAAATAGTTACTAAACACAGCACTTTGACCTTATATCTCCACAGAGACATATTTTAAGGCCAAAGAAGAACCACAAAGAAGTCTTAAATTTCATTCTGAATCTTAGTAGTAAACATATAGTTATTTTAAAAATGTAACTGGTATATTGGAGATGTGCAGAATAAAGTTAATATACATCGCTAATGTTAGAGAAGCATGCTTGCAAGGTTGGCCCTTGACTGGCATCTGGGAACTTGGATTCCAGGTGGTTCTCACAATTCCCAGAAATGATAAGAGTGGCTCACCACGCCTAAACTGTGTAAACAATACAGTTCATGCTGAACACCTGCTTGCTTTCTGGAAATATGGAATTTTGGTACATGGTAGGCCAAGGGTGCTTCTGTGACCAGTCCACAATAAGAGCTGTGGGCACTGAGTCTCTAACGAGCTTCCCTGCTAGATAACACTTCACACACATTGCCGCAACTCCTTCCTCTGGGTGTCCAATGGGAGAGCACGCAGACGCCTGTGCCTGTTTCCTCCAGTCTCTGCCCCATGTACCTTTTCCCTGTGCTGCCATACATGGTACCATTTCACTGCCACAGCTGAGAGTCCCCCTAGTGCATCACTGAACCTGGGGTGGTCCTGAGGACCTCGGATACAGTAGGCTCTAGCAGACACATCACTTTGTTAATGTTATTGAGAACAAGATTTCCAGCATAAGATAAAGAAATACAAGACACTAGTATAAAATCAAATAGATAGAAACACTATCACCTTACATTTGAATTGGAAATACTAGTATGAACTCACTTTTTCATTTCTTAAAAAATGTTTATTTTCTATTTCCGTTTATTGAAAGGCCTAGATGCAATAAGAGCTCAGTAGCACCGAGAATTTCTAATGCCCCAACTGTAGCTTCTAAATACTATTTTCTAACTAAAAAGAACTAGAGCATTTTAGAGAAATGACTGATTCCAAGACTGGGGCAGGAAATAAGCCTGGGGCCAGGCCAGCGGCTCATGCCTATAATTTCAGCACTTTGGGAGGTCAAGGCAAGTGGATGGCTTGAGCCCATGAGTTTGTGACCAGCCTGGGCAACATGGCAAAACCTTGTTTCTACTAAAAATACAAAAACTAGCCAGCCATGGTGGCACACCTGTAGTCCCAGCTACTTGGGAAGCTGAGGCAGGAGAATTGCTTGAACTTGGGAGGCAGAGGTTGCAGTGAGCTGTGATTGTGCCACTGCACTCCAGCCTGGGCAACAGACAAGAACCTGTCTCACACACACACACACACACACACACACAAAGAGCCTGTGACATCTTACTGAACCATGAAGCAAGGAAATATCAAAGACTAATGAAGTATGACAAAGAACAAAGATACCAACTTAAAGGGGCTCCCACTGAACATAAAAAACAAATTAATGGCAGACAAGTGCCCTAAAAAAAAAAAACAACTAAAACATATCAAATATAAAAAAAATATGTTCAAAATGCTATGAAAACCAAAGCTTCACTGGTCAACACTGGAGGTTGCTAGAGCCTGAATTCACAACTTTGAAAATTGATAAATAAAGGGAAAGAACCAAGCATTTTTCCTGCTCTTCATTATGAAGAGCAATTCAGAGTAATCATACAGGTGATAAGGAAAAAGTCTTTGTTAAAGAATTCCAGCTAACAGATGCAGAAGGAAATAATGGATCTAAGCAACGACCATCAATGGATGCTAAAATCACTTAGGTGAAAGACTGACAGGGGATTTTCATCAGCTGGTACCACCTAAACCCACCGATCAATCCTAGAATCTCTAAATGTGCAGCAGCCAGACATCACATGCCTGTTGATGCCACATAGTAGGGAGTACACAGCACCAGCTCTGAGGTATTCACACCCAATAAGCTGATTGGAATGGAATCAGGCCTCTACATAGAACGCCTGTTGATAGGAAACACAGGGAACAGAGAAACACGTTAAATGACACCACAGAGAAGCAATAGCCAATTCCTGGGATGTAGGTATCCCACATGATAGATGACCTGCTTTCTCCAACAAATCAATGCCATCAGCAAATGAGTGGGCAAGAAAATGGGTAGAAGGAGGGTGTATAGTTATGAAGATATTTACAGAGGAAGAGTCAACAACAACAAAAATGCCAATTTGACCACATCATTCTCATACTTAAAACCCTCTGGCCCCTGTCCACACCTCTGGCTGCACCTCTCATCATGTCCCTCTGTGCTCTGGCCACAGTCACCTTCATTCGGTTCCTCGAACTAGCCCCTTCCTTTATTCTGAGTCCCTTGCACGTGCAATGCCCTCTCCCTGGAATGTTGCCCTCGCCCCTTGCCCACTTCGCCTGGCAGAAGCCTGCTCATTCCTTCAGTCTCAGCTCAAACACTGTCTCCTTGTCAGGGACCACAGTCCAGGGTAAGATCAGGTCTCTCCCCTTTGTTATATACCCTCGATGTACTCTGTACTTCTCATGGGAACACATGGGGGTATATTTTTGTTATCTGCCTTCCTCCCAAGGACTAGATGCTCCTCAGGTGCAGACACTACATCTTGCAGCAGAGTCTGAAATGTAGTAGGCACTAAATAAAAATCTCCTTAATGGGTACATGAACAAATAAAGTATTAACTATGTGGTTCAACCCACCAGGTGGGAACTCAGGGGCGCGCTAAATCAAAAAGGCCCACTGTAGACCCCGCTGATCTTAGTTGCGGTGGCATCTACTGTTAGTACTCAGAATCCAGCCTGGCACTCAGAGGAGCTCAAGCTCCCAAGGAAACACTCACCGCCTCGTGGGACTTGGGAATGGGTACGATGATGGCCAGCACACAGATGAGCTGGAAGATGGCTCCCAGGAAGAGTCCGTACCGTAGCAAGTTCTCCAGGAAAGTGGGCTCGGGCACCTCCGGAGGTGAGAAGTCTAGGTCAGAGGCCATGGCCCAAGTTGCTGGCTGCCTGATGTCTCTTCTGACTCACCACTCTTCAGAGCCAACTTGTAAATGCAAAGGGTCAGTGTCATATTTCTGTAACTGACATTTATTTATTTATTTATTTATTTATTTATTTATTTATTTGAGATGGAATCTCACTCTGTCACCCAGGCTGGAGTGCAACGGCATGATCTCGGCTCACTGCAACTTTGGCCTCCTGGGTTCAAGCCATTCTCTTGCCTCAGCCTCCTGAGTAGCTGAGATTACAGGTATGGGCCACCACACTCGGATGATTTTTGTATTTTCAATAGAGACAGGGTTTTACCATGTTGGCCACGCTGGTCTCAAACTCCTGACCCCAGGTGATCTGCCCGCCTCAGCCTGCCAAAGTGCTAGGATTACAGGCGTGAGCCACCGCACCCAGCAACTGACTTTTAGCTTGAACAAACACACACATCCCCCCAAGAATATATACAGGAATTGTGAAATGTTAACAATTCTTGAATCTAAGCTGGGGACATATGGTTAGTCACTGAACCATTCTTTCAACTTTTCTGTACGTCTGATGTTTTCCAAATATAAAGTTGAGAAAAATAAATAAATGCAAAGGGAAGCACTTCAACAAAAATCTCAAATCAAAATACATTTACTAAAGGCTTGCCACGTTTCAGGTTTTGTTGTTTATTTATTCATCCAGTCATCCATTCAACAAGTATTTCTTGAATACCAAGCACTGAAGAATGAGCAAAACAGACAAACCCCTGCTTTCTTGGGGCCTACATGCTCAGGATAGAAGGAGACAATGAACACATTGAGACGTGATATGCCAGGTAGTGATAAGCATTTTGGAAAAAACTTAAGGGCATCACTTTATTTTGTGACAAGAAGGCTGTCTCTGAAGAACAGAGATGGGAATAGAGTGGAAGAGATAAGAAGTGAGAGAGTGAGCCATTTGAGTATCTGAGGGAAACATGTTCCAGGCAGGGAAAAAAGCAAGTGTGGAGGCCCCAGGGTGGGGAAATGAGGCCAATACAGGGAGAAAAGTGATCAGGAGGGAGGGTGGAAGGAGGTAAGATCAGAGAGGAACAGGGTCGGACCCTGATACCTCCAATTTGATTGAGTACAATGTAAAGCCACTGAAGGGTTTTGAGCAGAAAAGTGACATGATCTGACTTCCATTTTTAA